CTGAAACTTTTCTCTTTGCTCGTACAGTCTTCTTGCCTATCAAAATTATTCATCATTTAATACACTGACAAAGCAAAGCAAAGCAAAGATGTACTGTAAAGCAAGATGCAAAATAACCAGACATAAGGATAAACACCAAAGCACCTTTGATGTCATTAGATTCAGCGGAGAGCTCCTGGGTAATTTCAGCTTGTTTAACAATAATGTCAACACTGGTATCCTTGGTGTTGTCTTTTTTCACCCGTTTTTTCGTCTGCCTGGTACTAGAAACCTCTGATGCAGCAACATCGCTTTGGTTACTTGACACTTTTCTAGCCTTCCTTTTTGAAGTGTTATCGGCTACTCCTAGACTCTTGTCAGATGATACTTGATCCTCCCGTGCCACAGCTCCATTGCCTACATCTATAGCAGAAACTTACGGGTTATAAGTATCTTTCTGCTATATTTTGGATTTTGGAGAAGTTCACAGAATAATAACAATCACCTAGACAAATGTCGTACATCAGTTTCCAAATTAAAGAAATTATTTCATGGGCTTGGTTGCAAGTTAAATGACACAAAAGAATACCATTAAGTTTGCTGTTGAGGAATGTCGTCAGAGAAGCAACAAGCTCTTGTTTAGTACCTCTGGAAGGAATCCCAAGACTCCTAAAAACAGAAAACTGGCTTTCATGTCACAGGATCAAAGTGAAAGCTGCTGCAAAATACAACGTGATACATGGCACAAACTTTTCCAACACAAAGCATTTCTGAAGTGGAATATCATCAGAACAGAGGTTTTAGACCAACTAATTCAAGTTCCAGTGGAATCACTTAGCGCTGTATACAATGCTTCCAGCCAATTGCTTAGTGGCTTCCAACCAAGGGTCATGACTCGTTTAGCTCTACTAAGGCAGCACATCTTTTTCAGACTTCTAAGGATAATTTTAAGAATTCACTACAACAACAACAATAACAAGCCTCAATCCCAGGCAAGTTAGCTAAGCTATATGAATCCTCATAGTCATGTTCTAAGAAACCCTAATTTGGACCCTCATGATCGAGCTTATGATAGTAAAGAACGTGGAGCCATAGTCAAACAATCCAAACCAGGTTGAGAGTACGAAAGCTTATCCACCGAGTTATTCTCTATAACCATAACATAAAACAAGTACATTTGGAAGCTTCGAAGCTTTTAAAGATGAGGCCTTTTGGCAAAGCCAAGTCAATTTCGGGCCACCAAGCCCTGAATGCCACTACAACAGCTTTTACGCCTCAATCCCAGGATAATTTTAAGTATTCACTGCTTAAGGAAAAACTTCTCCGCAAGTATAGACTTGTTATGGCTGTCAGGTAATCATTTTCGCACATATAGTTTCCCTATATCTAGCACGGGAAATTATGACAAGAAGCAATTTAGAAAAACCTTTTCATATACACATCCTTGTCACACATATAGTTTCCCTATATCTAGCAAGGGAGACAAGAAGCAATACAGAAAAATCTTTCATATACACATCCTTCTCACGGCAGACGGCATCCAATTATATTTGCTTGAAACAACAAGCTAACAGCCAATGTTTTTCTGATTATTTTCTAAGAGACTAAATCAGGCATTTAATGGACCATAGGAAATTATTTGGTCAAATTCCATCTTCCTTTCATCCATTCTCTACAGAAAACAAACATAATACTCCTTCTGTCCCAATTTATGTGATTCACTTTCCTTTTTATTCAGTGTTATCAAAAGGCGCGCTTAAGCCCTGAAGCAAGGCTCAAAACATGTTGAGTGCTTTGCCTCGCTTAGCGGGCGTTTCAGTGTTGTCATCAAGGCTCTAAGGCATATATTTCCTTGCCAACATGCGTAATCCTGAAGAGGCGACAATAAACAATTGATATTTCACTTTATTGTAAATTTTCTTCAATTTCTTTGTCCATATATTTGGTATTCATGCCTATAGATATTAGTTTGCCTTTCTACCTGCTCAGGTAAGGATAAGGTATGCGTACACACTTATGGGATTACACTGGGTTTGTTGTTATTGTTGCTTATAGATATTAGTCTTGGACTACACATACATAATTATAGTTTTTCTCCATTTGCGCCTTTTTTCATTAAAGCCACACTTTATTTGCGCCTTGCACTTAAAGGCCCAACATACCTTAGAACTTTTTTGCACTTTTCAACTTTGATAATACTATTTTAGTATGTCCCAAAAAGAACGATACTTTTCTATACTTTTCTATACAAATAACTGCGACTTATTTAAGACCACAAGTTTCAAAAGTTAGTCTTTCTTTCTTTCTACACTCCGCCAATCAAACAACGTCACATGAAACATTGAGCACATACCTAAGTTTCACTCTGAGCTGTGGAACTGTCATTTTCTCTACCGTTTCCATATCCTCCACAAGAATCTCCTTGTCACCATTTTCCTACATTTAACAATAAAAATTCAAATAAAAAACAAATCTTTCCTGCTAAGCATTAATTTGTCAAAAAGATTCAACCTTTGAAACACCCTTTTCAACTGCAACGCTCATTGGTTCATTTGACTTTGCAACAGCTGATAATCTTGAAAAGGGTCTATTTTTAGACCCCATTATCGTAAAATTCACAGAAGCCAAAACTTGAAACTTGGGTTTCCTTAAAATCACTCCAACACTGGGAAAAAAGCAACAGTCATTAATCTAAAAAAATCAAGAAAGCAATAGAAAGATAAAACAGAAGTGATAATATAACTAATACCTATTCGGATGAATGAAATTGTATAGGCCTAATTTGAGAGATTGTAACATTGATTGTAGTGTGGGGGGGGGGGGGGGGGGGGGGGGGGGTGGACCGCCAAAGGAGGCAGCAAATGGAGGCGCGAAGCTGGGTTGGGAAGCTAATACCTGTTTGGCCAAGCTTCTCAACATGCCGAAAGCACGTGTGTGCCAAGCTTTTTTGAAAAAAAAAAAGTATTTTTCGGAAGAACTAGAAGCTTTCTGAGAAGCAGAAAAAAATAGTTTTTTCTCAAAAAATAGAAGTAGAAGTAGTTTTGACTTTTCTTCTTACCAAAAATATCCTTAATAAAATATAGTATATACCAAAATAACTGTTAAACTTAATACTTAGGATATTAATGTATAAATATTTCTTATTATTTTTAGGATAACTTTCTAATATATAATGACTTTAGGGGTGAATGCTTTTATATTTGTGGACTGATTTTTAATATATTTAACTTATATTAAAAGAATTAGGTACTTTTAAATTTTATTTTTATATTTTACTTAAATAAAATGAAAAGATTTAATTATTGCCTGTAATAACAAATTTTTATTTATTTACTTATAATATTAACTATTAAGTAAATCTATTCATGTCCTTATTCGCAATTTGATACTTAAAAATACTTTCTGAAAAATTTGGCCAAACACAAATTATTGCTCAAAAGTACTTTTCAGAGTAATTAGCCAAACACAAACTGTTTCTCTCCAAAAATACTTTTGAAAAAAAATACTTATCAAAATAAGCTGATTTCTCTAGTTTGGCCAAACACGCTATTAAGCCACGTGGTTAGGGACAGTAGGAAACTGGGAAAAGGAAATATTGGAGGAATTTTCTACCATAGTTAAAGAAACAAAAAGTAAATTAAGAAAAGAACAACAAAAGTTTTTTAGAAGGTAAAGTAATTAAAAAATGAATTTAATAATGTCTCAACATTAGCACACATAAAGGGTAAAATGAAGGGAGGTCATTTGTGATGTTTTGGTAATGTGTCATATTATGGTGATTAAAACTATTAAAAGCGACAAGGCAGACTTAAAAGCAATGCAAAATTTATATGTATATGATACTAAGTTGGGATCCTGTAGGAAATATAGAAAACTTCTAATATTTTTTTTTAATTCTTATTTCATATAATATTGGTATAAAATAAATTTAAAGTGAAACGGATCAATGAAAATTTATATAATCGATCATAAGTTGTTTGGGGACTTTGTTGTTTTTATAGTATTAGATAAGAAACATACATGTTCTTTAGAGATTGTTAATAACTTCATTTTTGGAAAATTTATTTGTAAATTTTTTATATATAACATACCGAAATGTAAAAATATATAAAAAATATATAATTTTTCGATTATTATTTTAAGAACGGCTATACAACGACATTTTTTCATAATTTTTTACCTAGTTATTGGATCAACATATTTTTTTTTCTTTTTCAGAAAAAGAATCAATATATCTTACACCTCTATATTTTTCTAACAAGGTAGTAGAACGGTTTAATTATATTTGTCTGTTTGCAAAGAGGAAAAAGTGACAAAACGTCACTAGGGAAAAGATCCACTTTTGCAAATAATGAAAAATTGTCCACAAAAAATTTCATATGTTTTTTAAACAAACGCCACCCTCAGTCATTGGATATTTCTTGTTCAATCTTAATTTTTTAAGTTCAGAAAATCAATATATTTTTCTCATACTAGAAATTAGATATTTATAGAATATTTTGATAAGAATAGTAACTTCTAATCATGTCCTCATAGTTTTTTTTTTCTCGTCTCTATCTTATCATGAAAATCCAGAAGAAAACACACCTTAAGTCTTTGCAACAACAACATACCCACTATTATCCCACACCTTGGGGTCTGGGTAGGGTAGTATGTACGCAGACCTTACCCCTACCTTGCGAGGATAGAGATGTTGTTTCCAATGGACCCTCGGCTCAATGCCTAAGTCTTCACAGTTTTATCATTTATGGAGACAAAAAGCGCCAGCTTATTTCTTCCCACTTGTCTAAAGTTTTAATGCATAGTGTTCCCCGATATCAATGCTGGTGGAAGATAACAGATACATGATTAAATAATCGAGATATGCACGAGATGAACCAGATACTATAGTTATATATAAAAAGAAAAAGTAAGAAAACAGTTGTATTATTCTCCATCAAACAGGCTATACAAAGTAAGTCATCTTATGCTCAAACAATACAATTTATAACTAGAAAATAGCAGCTTCATGGATAGAAGGATTTCAAAGGAATAACACAGTACTGAGAGCTGTCAAATTATTGAAGTTGAGCAACTTCATCAATGCCACACAATCTCCAAATTTCAAGATAAAACATTGTCTGCATAAATTAATGAACATGGAAATAAAACTATAACGATGACAATACAATGGAACAAAATTCAATTTCCAGGAAAAGAAGAATATTGGGTTGCGTCGCATGAAAAACTCTCAAAAAGGTTCCAAGGATATCACATTCTCCAGTCTCCATCAACTAAACCCCGACCACCTGGGGAAGGAAATTAGTATTACCTCACCTCCTTAGTAGCTTCAATACATCGCCAACAAGGTGCAATGAACCGGTGACAAGAACCTGGAATAAGAAGTATATAATGCTTTAGCAATCATGGTGGTATCACAAATTTGTCCTAGGTTTCATCTATGGGAAGTACGTAGTAAATAACATGTGGAGTAATAACCGCCATAAGCATGATGTTATCTTCCATCAGGAAGGCGTAAGTGACATTTATGATCGAGTTGGTTGTCACTCGTCATGTTTCATGTAGGTCTAGTTGTAGGGCGATTTTTTCGAGTTATCTCAAGGCAAATCAAGATAAAGCATTCATCTCTATCAACTTGTAACTCTAGCATCTTCACTTGCAAATAAACTTATGATGTCATCTGTTACTAGGATATATGAAAACCTCTGAAGTCTAATGCAAGTAGGTTTATCATGTATGTCAGAAACAGTTATAATGTATGTGATATTCCAGCAGTATTACGTACCTGAACTCTAAGGGAAGGGTTTTCTCTAACACAATCCCTCAACCAATTTATGGTCAATGGTAATGAAGGAAAAACCGCACTACAAGCAAAATATCCATCTTCTGGACCACAACGAGAAGCCTCTTTATAAAGAAATTCACGGGGTGGTACGCCTACTGAGGCGTTTAACTTGAGATTCTGATCAAGAACATCTGCATTAGACAGGAAGATATATGAGGTTCTATATGGATAAGCACTGCAAAGCTTTGAAAGCTATAAGCAAACATTCAGGAGGATACTAAACCAAGAAACAAGCCATGGTGTCAAGTTGGAAAGGTTGATCACTTTCAAACATATATTTCTTACTTTAGTGACAATGCCCTAAGATTAAAATTGGAGTTCTCACGCCTCTCGTTATCGAATTTCAAATGAGGCTGCTATACAGTGCTTAGGCAACAGCTACTGCAGATTAGAAACCTATTTGAGCGGAGACAACCAAAAGATCGAAGTAACAAAATTAACAGAACCTGTTACATCAAGAGTCTCTTTATCAAACTTATGTGGAGCCTTCTTTTTAGGGATATGTTTCAGATGCACTGTGCTTTAGTCAGCTATTCAAGACAGACGACAATCTTGCTCTAGAGAAAAGCAGGCTACATAAGATTTAAGAGAAAAAAAGTAAGAGAAGCCAGTTACCAAGGAACAGGCAGAAGTTACCTTTGCCATGAATGATTTTCTCCCAAATTCTCTGAAGGTTAAACTGCCACGACAAATCCTTTCCAGGGATATATGAGGGAATAGCAGAGGTAGCAGAAGTAACCTTGGTATATGCCGAAATGCTTGGCACAAAAATAGCTTTTGAGAAGTAAATACCTGCAGAAGAAAACATTCATATTGCCCAATTATCACTTTTCAATAAAACCTCCTTGTCATTTAACAAGAGAAAGAGATTTAAATGAGACACCAAAAGCTTTTCTGTGATTTTCCTTGAACTAGACGGACAAAGGTGTCCGGGCACATTCTATTTGAACTCTACATGAATCCACCATATGTTGGTAAACATCAATAAAGTCAATAGTGTTACTGTGAAGTTAGATGCTATGAAGAAGTTAACTTTGTGCGTTCAATCAATCATTTAACTCGTTTATGGTGTGCGATGAACAAAGTTGTGGTTCATGGTATACTGAATAGGTGTAACATAGGAGGAGCATTTATGGTAGTCAGTTGTGCCATCTTTTCCAGTCTCGAAGAATCCATATGGATGCAATTCCCAGTCTGCAGAGATAAACATCAATGACAAGTTGACAACAACAGATTGCTGCATGATTATCTTGTTCACTACCTGATGATGCACAGGTATTGACAAGCTTAGGAAGAAGAATTTGAGGATCTCTTGCATCCATACAGTTGAATAACAAAATCTGCAGTAGAGAGACCATCTTATTCATAAGGCATGCCACTCCACAAAGACAAGAAGTAGAGGAAAGGAAAACACATAACATAAGATTTATCAAATGCAGATGAACTGAATATCATGTATCAATATGATAGCTCTTTTACCCGCTTTGGTATTTCATCCGAATCCTTGTTATTACAAGGTTTGATGTAACCGTTTGTCCAGGCTCTCTCCATTGTATTGACTTTTGAAGAAACTGATGAAAGTGACATGTCTTTTCTTTCTACCACAGAAGCAGAAAACCATCTCGCACAAGCATCCATGCTCTCAGGACTATGAGCTCCATCTAGGTAGAAGGTCAGATCTCCTGACAACCTTTTATGTCCTCCAGATGTGTTGATCAGAGGGTCAACAACAATCTGACCCCTGCCAGAAAGACGTGCAGCTGAAAGACCCCTCAGGAATTCCTCTGGTAGACCATCTTTCTCATATGCCTGTTTGATGCCAAGAAAAGGTCGAGCAGCATGATAATAGAGCCAAAGAACATAAGAGTAAAAGAAGTGTGGATCACTCTTCTTAAGCCACATTGAATAATGAAATCCCCTTCCATATGTTACCATCTCAAAAAAAAAAAAAAACTTCCGTTGCATAGCAAGATGAGATACAGTAACATTAATGAAGGGCATAAATACCCGTATACAAGACGTCTACCAAAAATAGAGAGACCTAACCAAAAATATGGTTTTCTGAAAGACACCCAATCTTCTATGCTTAAAGAAATCTCATGGGTGCACCAAAACATAATAAGGGAAAAGAGGCTACTCCTCAAATGTACAAAGTCCTTCTCTATTCCATCAAAAGCTCTCCTATTTCTCTCTCCAAATGGTCCACATGATTGCAAGTGGAGCGACATCCCAAGCCATGCATCTTCTTCTCCTCCTCCTGAAAGTCCAGCTGAACATTACTTCTTAACCGTGCGTCCGTGCCTGGCATCACCAATGGAAAGCCAAACTAGCCCAATACTTCATACCATAAGCAAGATGCAATATGACAATGTAAAGAAGGTGATCAAAATCTTCACCCGAGCACTTGCACATGTAGTACCAACTAACACGGGTAACTCTCCTCTTCCTCAAATTCTCAGCCGTTAGAATCACCCCTCTCGTAGCTAACCATGTAAAAAAATTCATCATGATGTTTGGAGTAAATTAGAAGACACAAAATGGTTTAGGTGTGAGCGTACAATTATCCATTGATTTCTTAAAAATATGAAGGAAACTATAAATTTCTTGGGAAGCGCTATAAAAACTATCAAATCTGCAACCATGCAGAAGTATACCAGTTGAAATCAAGGTTTCTATGAATCAGGAGGAGGGGGAATTCGCACTCTATAAAATATTACTTTTTTTATGTTGGGACCAGCTTGCGTGCTCCTCGACTATTCTACCTGGTACCTACTACCTCCCACCAGCACAGGCACATGGTAACTCTACCCACCAAGGCTTGGACAGATGGGAAGAAATCACCTAGTAATTTTTGCCTCCGCTGGAATTTGAACCTGAGACCTCATGTTTCTCCTCCCACTTTATTGACCACTAGGCCACACCCTTGGCTGCTTTGTGCTCTATATAAATTGTAGTCTAATTTCAATGATACAAGTCAATGGAGTCTGGCAAAGTTTGGAAATAGTCATTCAGCAGCTTGGCTCGACAAATTTTGGCCATGTTGGATTTTGGATCAAGTAGTTACAGTTGACTCATATCAGCTCAAATTAGGGCCTAGATGCCAAAACGGTAAAAAAAGCAGTAGGAAATGTTTATTTATCAAATTTTAAGCGACGAAGCAGTGCGAAGGAAAGGGTATCGCTTCAGAGAAGTGTACGATTCAAAGGATGGTGCTGCAAAGTAATCCTAAGGAGGAGTGATCAATTCTTTGAATCGCACCTTTTGAGGAGTTGGACTAATATCAACATTATTGCAAATTGGATGCTAAAGTTAATAACTTTAACCACAATTTGATTAATATATTGCATTCACATTTTTCTAAAATAATATTTTAACTTGTGCGCTTCACTTCAAAGAAGCACACATTTCATTTCTCGCATTTCACTTCAAGCACTATGGACCTGTCACTTTTTTGCGATTTTCACTTCTAAAACCACTGGATTCTGCGTATCATGTCACTATAAGCACAAATCATCTTCCAGGTGGAGTGGCATTAATACAGCTTGGTTAAATATTCAGAGCCGCTAGCTATCAAGCCTAAAACCCACTTTTGAGTCTCAACAATTGCATGCAGAAAAACAAAAGAGAGAGATTCTTGTTCATTTTTGTAGTTAACATACAAGATGACTTCTTATATCGAATTTTCAAGCTACATGAATCACGGATAATTGTTAATACTTGACATTCAAATTATTACAACATAATCATTAAGATTATCATACACATTATTCTTAATCATTCTCTTCGGGAGCTTTTCCGCTTGCTTTTATGATGACCTAGAATTCACATATTTGAAGCATGGATATAGCCTTTTTGAAGAAATGCAAGGGAATAATTGTGTATGGCATGTACCAACTCTCATCCTACCCAAGCAACTTGACAGAGCAATTTTTGTGTAGTTAAGCTCTATTTCTCTTGACTAACCTAACTGATAAGAAAATAGACAATGTCTAACTCAGCTCTGACTACTAGCTCATGAGGTGAGGATTGCCCAAAGCCATATAATGGAGAAAATAGCTCATTTCCTCAACCATGTCAGACAACTTAACACCCCTCCCCCACATGCCCAAGCCTGGATAACTTGAGAGTGAACATAACATGAGGCCCAACTTAGGAAACACAATAACAGGGGTAGGTCCGGCCTTCGACTTTGGTACCATGATAAAAAAAGTGGACCTAGGCATAACTCAACCCCAAAAGCTAACTCATGAGATGAGGATTGCCAAGACAATATAAGGAGACAACCATCCATTCCCTCAACCAATGCGGGTCAATCTAACACTATATTAAGAATAGTCTACACAATATTCTTCACGGTTCTCTCAATTTTCAACAAGAGGAACCACTATGGACATTTTGCTATGACTATGAGGTGCCTCCCAGTAATTTCTAGACTGCAATACAGATCCAAAAACCACATTTTTCATAATCAAAATGAAGGTTAAGTTTATCATAATAAACAAATTTTAAAATTCAACATGACATGCTTTACGTAATATTAACACCTGACTGGAAACAAATCATGAACGTTAATATCCGTTGAGACATTTAAAAGTGATTACCATATGCACAGACTAATACAAGAGGAAAGAATAAAGAGAGTACCAACATCTTCAAACAGCCTTTTCCAGTTTCCTGTACTTCTAAGCCAACTTTTACAAAGGGATACAGCAAGGGCAGCATTACTGAGCTGGTGATCACCAGACAAGCTTAGCCTTGCTCCATTTAACTTTTCCAAGTTTAGCGGTGCGACAACTTGCAGCGAAACCTGCATGGACAGAGAGATAATAGTCAGAAATTTCTGTGTAGTACACACACCGTAGTTAGTGGTGCTTGCATGGAAAGAAAAGATATCAGTCAGATATTTGGGTATAACTACATACAATGAGTTACATGATGATGGTCGATAAACTAATAGCTTATCCACATCTTTCCAGGGACTATATGACTGTTTTCTGCATCTAGTTTTGATTTGGGTGCCCATGTATCGCATATTTATGTACATGAAATGAAATTCTGGCACCAATAGAAACACTCTAAGGTAAGTGAAACTTACTTGCCATCGGATACATATAATATTGCATCCAATCCAGATAGAGAGGATAGTAGTGAAAAATTAGAGTATACTCACAAATAACGTAGTTACTTGATGATGGCCAACAAACTAATATCATTTAAAAATCTTTACTGAGAGTATATGTGTCTGTTTTCTATATCTAACTTTTATTTGTATACCCATGTAGAGTATGTATAAATGCAAGGAAACAAAATTCTGGTGCCGATAGAAACACTAATGAAACTTACTTGCCATGGAATACAAATGTTATATTATCCAGTCCAGCGAGGTAAATCTAACTTCATAGAGTTTTTCATGGAATAATACCTTTTTCGCCAGAAACCCATTGCTACAGTCGTTTTACAATCTTTTCAGAAAATAAAAATTATCATTTGGAGGAAAAAAGAAGAACTATCATTTGAAAAATACATTTAAGAATAGTCGCTTATTGGATTGGCTATTTGATCCTTTATTTTACAATTTGTTGAAATTATGTTTAAAAGAAGATAGCAACTACTACAAGATTTAAGAGTTCTACATCACTGTAACTCCTAACTCAAACACTTATGTGCTCAAGCTCCACTCACATCCAAAATGAAGCCACTTAAGCAAGATGCAAGTTATGGAGGCATAGGTGTACATCACTGTAACTTTGAAACAAATGCAAAGTAAATGCTTAAATCGCTTTTTTTTAAGGACAGACTTCTACTTATAGTCACTTTTTCAAATCATGATTCTTCTATCCATGGAAATATTTTAGACCAGTTCAAATTACAGGATTATGGGTAAAGAAAATATAGCATTACGAAAAACTGCCTGTATGTGTAAGTAATTAAAATTGAGTTGCGCCAAAAAGGGTGTGATCCCAGGCACATGATTTAATAGGTAAATAAACATTAGTCACTAGTCTTATGAATCCAAGAGGTGATGTTACAGTAGATTACCATCAACTCTTTAGCCCTTTCTTGAAGAACTTCCATTGCTTCAGAAAGTTGCAGCACAGTGAATGCAGGAACTTGAGGCTTCACGAGCAGGAACACCAACCCAATTCAGAAAATACTTCATAATATAACTGCGGCTCAAGATATGGGCAGGAACTTTGCCATAAACAATCCACTATAAGAAAAAACTATCATACACTTACGAAATTGCACAAAACTAAGTACCTTAAGAATTCCGGCCTTGTGAGAAGCAATCTGGCCTAGTGTATTTCCTACACATCATAGTTGGCAGATAAACAAGTCATATCAAAAAGGTTTTCTAGTAGCCATCCCGCTAAGATTTTCATTCTTTCATCAAAAAGAAGAAATTTTTTGACAATTAAGCAAATTGAAGAGCTAATGGAGCATCCATCTCCCGCCAAATTAAAGAATGTGCCAAATGGATTTGTTTGAATAAAACATCGTTTGAAGATACGTCTAAAGAGTTTATATAGTTACGTAGTTATACTTAATGATAATATTAGTCTCTCGTGAATACAAACTATGTGGAATGTAGAATGGACCTAAAAGGTGCTTCATGCTCAAGACATATGTTGAAGATATAATTAAGAAAATAGAAGTGTGTCAGCCTATTCTCCTTGTTTTCTTATTGCTTTTTTATTTTATTTATCAAGTCCTTATTTTCTTATTTCTCACGAAATCTTTGCATTAGAAAGTAACAAACACGACTATAGAGGAGAGAGACGCACCTAAAGTTTCCATGTGATCCATACCCAGAGAAGTAATACCACAGACAACAGGTTCCTTAATCTGCAAAATTGTTTTATCAAGTGATTCAGTCATTCAATGCCAAGGGTCAATATATTATCTCCCAACAAAAGAGCAGAAAAGATCTCTCCAACGTCTATGCTACCTTGCATATTTTATATGTAGGAGCAACATGATCAATACACGATAAGATGCATTACCACATTCGTAGAATCCAGCTTTCCTCCAAGGCCAACTTCAATGATGGCAACATCAACCTGTGAAGGTATAGTAAGTCTTGTTACATAATTGTTGAGGTTCACTTGTTTTGCTCTTGTTGGGAAAACCAAACATAGGCTACAGACTTCGAGATGCAATTGAGAATAAAGTTATCAGCTATCTGACTCAAAAAAGAAGTAAATCATTCAATATTTTTTCTCACATTTGTTAATGAATGTTTTCTTTACCTATCAAAGAAAGAGTAATCATTTCTTCTCCTGCTTAAGACTTTTAGGTATAAATTAATTCCATAGCATTACTCATCGGGTCTATCGTAAGCAGTCTTACCTTGCATTTTTGCAAGAGGCTACTTCGATGGTTTGAACATGTAATGTCACGGCCATACAGTGACAACTGCTAGCGTAAAGCCGAGATTATTTGGTTGGGAAGAATAGGACTTTTGACTTCAAGCCTACCCTAATCAGAAAAACGTTTCAGCTATTAATGAAACATTTTGTTGATACTACTAGTCTTCTCCCCTTCATTAGCATTTAGCACAATATATCATTTATCAACAAAACGAAAAGTTTATTCAATTTTTTTATAAGTTTTAATTCAGTAGTTTTTTTATCACAAGTTTATTCAATAGTTCTTTAACACCACAGAGGTAATAGAAAAATCATTATACATATTTGATTTACAAAGTGCCAGAAATGGAACAATTTGGTCAAGAACAGAACCAAGACCTGTATGTAGACTGTTTGTTAATGAGATTTAGATAGAAATTTGAAGATATTGAAACAATTGTATGATTAATCCCATAGCATTTGAAAGCTTGAAGTATTTATGATATAAACTTATACTTTGGTCATACCTAACACTATTCACGAAGACTTATGAAAATCATCGAAAAGTTTAAAATGGAATTGTATGTTCTAGATATCACAGTATACAGTGTCATGATAATCATTACATGAGGATACAACGCCTTGTCAAAGTCAAGATCTCAGAGGAACTATATCCAATCTGGAAGTCAAGGTCAGCGGATAACTTAGTCTTATTAATTCAGTAATTCTGTTCCAGGTACTGGTTTCCTATAACCGGGTAAAAGGGTAGCCTGGTGCACTAAGCTCCCGCTATGCGCAGGGTCCGGAGAAGTCCGGGTAATGGTTTCCTATGACCAAGATTTTTTATTGGCCAAATACCTATGCGGCCCCTTAAACTTGGTTCCAGTTTTCATTTTAACACTTTAACTAAGGCCAGTACCTATTGAACACTTAACCTTGTCTTACTTACGCCTACTAAACACAATAGCTGACATGGCAAAAAAGNATGATGAAGTCGAGAGATGTCAAGCAAATGAAGGATTCCAACTAAAAAGTGAACCAATAAATTTAAAAGATTTAAATATCTCCAGCGGTAACATGATTAGTTCCAATTTGCTGTAACTAGTGTAATCCCTCTGCAAGGCTGAATCATAAATGAAAAAGAACTTCAATTTAAACCAGAAAATTACTTAAGACTACATAAACATGAAAAAGAGAACCAACTGAGATGTAGTCAAGGTAAACTCGGAAGATCCACTAGCATACTTAGATAGGGGCATCTTGTCATCCAGCACAGAGACTAAATGAAAGAATACCTTGAGCTGATTCCAACAATCCCAAAAGTATTGCAGAAATTTTTCCTGGCATATGTCCATCCTAAGCAATAAGGTGCAATGGAATGAGAATCTTCATTAATAACTTAAGGACAATCAAGTAAAGGAAAGACATCAATCACATAAGAAAACCTATTAACAGCAATGAAGTTCAGCTTGAAATTTGAGTGGGGACCCCTTGTGTGCTTCAAGACATACTAAGAAGCATGTTAAAATCAACAGGGTATTAAGTTATTCCCTATCTGTTGTTTCTGTTTTACAAAAACCTCATTGGGTGCAGTTAGTAGATGAAAGGAAAACTGGGGATAGGAACATGCAAAACTTTGGCTTTTACTCCTTTCTGAAAAGTGAAATGAGGGTGGAAAATTTGATCGGTTACTTAAATTCATCTACATGGTCGGCGAGAAAGTATTGAAGTCAATGAAAAGGAAAAGATTGAAAGCCTCCTGGATACACAGTGCAGCCAGATTCCACATGAAACAAATCCCATTTTAACATACAAAATACAAAAGTAGCACTGACACTGAAGATGCTCTAATATACAAAAGTAGGGAAAATAAAGTAACAAGAATGCATACCCATCAAGGCGATATCTTTCTCTAACATCGATCAAATGAGGAGAAGTGAAAAGTCCTGTTTTGAAACCGCACTCCCGTAAAATTGCTTCACAGAAGGCACATGTTGAACCCTGAAATGAATTACAGAAATGAAGAGACGGAGTAAAGGAATGAAGCTAGAGAATTCCTGCTCTTTGGAAATATCAATAATTGAATCAAATAAGACATGGGATTAATTTTCCAATTATAAGAACATGAAAAGTCATAACTTCTTAAGAAAAGCTTTTCCATTCTGCATTTGTTCTGAGCTACAAGTGAATCTTAGATGCTGGACAACTACAGCCAATTAGTAGAAATTGTTAGAGCCACACGTTGGTTGGAAAATCCTCAACTCATGAATTAACTTTGGATTTAAGTTAAGCCCAATGTCTTTTTCTTTACAATCAGTCAGACCCAACTCTGTTCTAGGTTTAGCCAATGTTGGACCCCTATGTTATATTGTTCAAGCTCCAAATATCCAGTTTTAGGAGTGTGGACTGTAGAGACTAGAGGGGAGGGTGGTTAGAGTCCTCACGGACTAACTTTTGGAGTTGAGTAAAGCCCAACGTTCAAATTCTTATCAGAAGACAAATATAAAATACTCAAAATCAAAATTCACTTAGCTATGCATAACGTTTGTCCAACACACATCATGTGCACCGAAAAAGTAAATATCGTAGAAATCCTGGAAACCGACAGAGTTACCATAAAGATGTATTTGACATGCAAAATAACTTAAGCCACTTTTTTTTTATGAAGAACTTAGCCACTTAACCATTAAAAGATAATCCTAAAATCCCAAAAGCTAGAACAGAATCTAGCACATACTTTTTACCCATTTTTTCTTCTNAAGGTCCACTAGAGGTTCTAGATACACAGACTTGATAAATGAAACTATAATTCAACAATAGATAACTCTTTTATATGAAATTGTGTCTCACCTCTTTCAGAAAACTTGGCTATCCTTTCTAACTCGTACATTTTTCTTTAATTCAAAAAAGTATTTGATTCTCAAATTTTAAAGGGAAAGCATCACATCAAATCATTAAGGCAATCGGGAATGACTTACATTAAATGTCACAGAAAATAACAAGTTAAAAAAAAAGCGGTTAATTTGACGACGAAAATGGTCCAGATACCTTTCCTTTAGTGCCAGCAACATGGATAATCTTAAGGCCTGCTATCTTTTCTTCCAAGCCCAAAATCTGCAACAGAAATGCAATATATTATCACGTCCACTTCTACTTTTCAAAATATATTTTAGGACCAACATTCTTGTAATTTCAAAGATACGAAGTTCAAAACTTCTAACTGCCATCATATAATCTACAGTAATTTTCATTTCTCTTTCTTTTCAATAGATTACAAATTCAATGCTAAAATGTTTTGACTTTTTTTTTTGTTTGTTTTTTTTTTTTTTGAGAAGGTAACATTTGTTGTATATATATTAACTGCACCAAAGGTAGTGCAATCATCCATAGTTACATAAGGTGGAATAGAAGTGTAATTAAGCCTTAACCTACTTACAAGGATCCTAAAACAGCAACTAAAGATTCTAGATCTTCCATGTATTCTTGCTTACACCAAAAATAGAAAAGGGATAAACATTGCATTTTCAGTTTCTGGATAGAGTTGTATTTATCTTCGAAGCATCTTCGGTTTCTCTCTTTCCAAATTGTCCACCAAATACAAGCTGGGGCAATCTTCCATCTCTCTTTCTGGTTGGAGGAGCTACTATATATGTTCCAACATTCTAGAACTTCATGGGTATCCCTTGGCATAACCCACATGATTCCTTTCAGATTAATGAAAATCCTCCATATTTGTTCCGTTATCCTGCAATGTAAGAAGAGATGGTTGATTGTCTCTGCTTCAATTCCACATAAATAACATCTGGAGCATAGGTGGAAGCCCCTCTTGATTAGATTATCCTGGGTCAAAATTGCTTTCTTGTTCAAAAGCCATGTGAAGCAAACGACTTTATAAGGAATTTTGACTTTCCATATTAGCTTCCAGGGCCAACATCCAATCTGATTGTTAGAAATATTGAACTCCTTATAAGCTGACTTGACTGAGAATTTGCCTTGCCTAACCCCTTGCCACAAATGTTTTGACTTATAATCACTCCGTTAATTAATTATAAGATCACTATGACTAAACTGCACATTCTGGAAACAGCAAACAAAAGTTACACCGATAACACCGATTTCAATTAGTTTGTGGCATAAACAGATAGGCAAGACCGGTACCACCAAGATGCACATTTATCACGCAGCTCTTAAAGGCGAAACAGTCTAAGCTAGAAATGGCACTACCTTAATGTACCTCAACATCCTGTCCAGTTTCTGGTTTTGACCACTAATGGCTGGTATGCCATTTCTTTTTTTCTGAGTAATGAGAGTCGAAAGAGCTTCCATGGCAGATTCATATGCGGATGGAAGCTGGAAGTCTTGTGAGATATCTTGACTATTTTGACTGAACTTTCCCACAATCTGAGATGACATATTCCTATATCTGAGTCCTTCAGGGACATAAAGCCAAAATATTAGCTTTAAATTCAAGTTAAATTTTTCTCCACTGCAGTGCAGAAAATACTAATTCTTAACTAATATCATCCTAAAAAGAGTTGAAGTAAAAGACATCTACAGTGATTGACATAAACCCGATTGTACACCTAACAATTGTTTATACATTCAGCAATACGAAAATTTGCGACCCCAAGAACTATCACAACTCAAATGCAAATATCAAAAGCGCTAAAGAAGTTTCCTTTCTAGAAAATGAAAGACACACTGTTTACTTAAACTATGACGTGACTGCAGCTTAACAACCAAGTCAAACGGAAAAAAAAATGCCAAATGACAATTCAAAGCAACCATGAACATGTCCACACTTCCAACTAACTTTCAAGAAAGGATTTTTATATTATTTCAACTATTGCACCTTCATAGTTTATCACAACTGCTAACTAATTCTTTTAGTAGCAAAGTATGTTGCATATAACCAGTGACGATTCAAAAAGATACTAAAATGTCACATCTAGGATTTAAACCTATGACCTAAAGTAACTTTTGGACCCCCTTTGCCACTACCCGAAATTGTTAAGGGGATTAAACATTTTTTTTGGTTTTTCACCCGGTGTCTGGAACCCAAATTGGAGCCCGACTATATCCGGATTCGCACCGTGTAGGGCCCCATTCAGGGAAGCGTTCCCTACATACGATTTTTCCATACCCAGGGCTCGAACCCGAGACCTCTGGTTAAGCGAAGAGCGGTCTCATCCACTGCACCACATACTTTGGTTGGGATTAAACATTTTATATACAACAAAAAAAATTAGTTTTTTTCCGCTATTTACACAGTAAAATTTTCAACTAAGGGAATTCAATTAAACCTCTTTCCTGAACTTAGCTACGCCCCTATTCCAAACGAGCTTAAAACTAGTCAATTTATGATGAAACGAATCCAAATAAAGCAAAATCAATATAATAATCGATCTCAACTAGTTTAATAATTGTTGTAAAACTAATTTGATGTAAAAATGTAATAAAGGGGGCTAAGAAAAATTGCACCTTGGAACTGTTTTACCCCATCAGTGTGTGCACAAGAAGGTGAACTTGGACCGTTCCATGTAATTAATCCACTGAGGAAATGGTCTCTTTTGCTAGCATTAATTTTAGAATGACCCATAATTTCTTGACCAAAATAAAGATTGTTGTACAAAAATATCATTTGGGGTTATTTATTTTTCAGTGATTAAACCCCTATGACGTTGAGGAAATTCTGAAGCTATGGTGGTGTAGAACTGTAGATGACCAAAGAGAAGATGCGAAATACTACGTGAAAAAAAAAAGTTATAAAAGGGGGAGTTAAGCAACTTTATTGTCCATTTGATTTTAAATTTATCCGTACCTATTTATCATTTTGCATTGGCCCTAGCATGCCAATCTTCTAAAATATGCCTATTTTTCAAAAAGTACTTTCGGTGAGAATTGGTTTGTATTTGATTAATTAATTTAAAAAATACTTTTGAGCAATAATTAATGTTTGGACCACATTTTTGAAAATTACTTCTAAGTGTATTTTTCTCAAAAGTACTTCTCAAAAAATTACTTTTAGAGAGAAAATACATTCTTCTGCTTCTTCTCCTCAAAAGTATTTTTTTCTTCTAAAAGCTTGGCCAAACACTTCAATTTTTGGCCAAAAGTACTTTTGGCCCAAAAAAAAAAAGCTTGGCCAAACAGGCTATAATATGTGAATCTAGCCACATTGGGGCGACGTCTGAAGTTTAAGATGATGTGCATTGTGGCGTCAGTTTTAGAGATTGAAACGAAAGAGGAACTTCACTGTTGGATTTTGCTAGCTAACTCGAGTTTTCTGAAGAAGATGGAGCACTTGATCACTTTCCAGAGTTCGGTAACCAAGACCAAAATTGATTATCTACTCCTCAGGAAGTCCAATAAAGATCCTTGCATGGACTGCAAGGTCATCCCGTGTGAGAACCTTACGATCCAACATAGGCTCTTGGTCATGGACCTTAAGATCACGAGGAAAACGGTTGTGTATGGTCATCCTAAGATCAATGGAGCCTTGACTGAGAACAAAGTTTAGGAGTTTGGGGTTAAGCTTCTGGCTATGGGGGCTTATAGGAGTAGTGTGGACGCGAGTGTTATATGGACCACGACCGCAAATTGCATTAGGGTAACTTCTAGAGAGGTATTAGCGGTCTCGAAGGGATACTCCAGTGGTCACAAAGGGGATTAATCGTGGAATAGAGAGGTCCATGAAATATTAGAATCCAATAGAGCGGTGTATTTGAAGTTATTGGAGAGCGTGGATGACGAGAAAAATAGGACGAATAGGGAGTGGTATAAGATGGCTAAGAAGGAGGCAAAGTTAGTACTTACGGCGGCTAAGACTACAACATTTGGTCATTTGTATGAAGAACTTGAAGGCGGGGAGGGAAAAAATTGTTCAGGCTTGCTAAGGCAAGAGAAAGGAAGGCCCGTGACCTGGACCAAATAAAGTGCATCAAGGACGGGGATGGCAGAGTTTTGTTGGATGAGGCACATATTCGTCGGAGATGGCACACTTACTTCCATATACTCTTGAACGAAGAGGGGGACAAAACATTGTGCTGGGTGATTTGGAACACTCCAAAAGTCGACAAGACTTTGGGTATTGTAGGTCTATTAAAGTTGAGGAGGTCGAGGGGCTATGCGTAGAATGAGCAGGGGTAGAGCGACCGGACAGACAAAATTCCGGTGGAGTTTTGGAAGAGCGCGGACAGGGTGGGCTTGGAGTGGCTCACAGAGTTATTTAATGTTATTTTATGATGAAAAAGATATTCGAGGAGTGCAAGTTGAGTATGATAATCCCATTATACAAAAACAAAGGGTGATATCCAAATTTGTAATAACTAGGTATCAAGTTGCTAAGCCATACTATGAAAGGTTGGGAGAGGGTGATGAAGCTGATGGTGAGAAAAAATATGTCTATTCCCGATAATCAGTTCAGATTTATGCTAGGGCATTCGACTATGGAAGCCATTCACCTTATTAGGATATTGATGGAGCAGTATAGGGAGAGGAAGAGGGACTTGCATATGGTATTCATCGACTCATAAAAAGCTTACGATAAAGTATCGCGGAAGATTCTATGGAGTTGTTTGGAGGCTATGGGGGGTACCTAGTGTATACATCAGGATGATTAAGAATATTTATAATTGAGCTAAAACCCAAGTGAGGATAGTGAGAGGGGACTCGGATCACTTTCCAGTTTTGATAGGGTTGCACCAGGGGTCGACCCTCAGCCCTTTTTATTTGCTTTGGCAATCGACGCACTGACGTGCCATATTCAAGGGAAGGTGTCGTGTGCATGTTATTTGTAGATGATATTATACTGATTGACGAGATGCGAGGCGGTGTCAACCCGAGGTTAGAGGTTTAGAGACAGACACTGTGCAGTCTAAAAGTTTAAACTTGAGCGGGACCAAAGACATAATACTTGTAGCGCAAGTTCGCGGTGCGACTCATGAAGCAAACATAGATGTAAGACTGGATTCATAAGTCATCTATCAGAAAGGAAGGTTCAAGTACCTTGGTTCAGTTATACAGAATGGTAGAAAGATTTACGAGGATGTCACACATCGTATTGGGGCGAGGTGGATGAAATGGAGGCTTGCTTCCGGTGTTTTGTGTGACAAGAAAGAGCCACAAAAACTTAAAGATAAGTTCTATTGAGTAGTGGTTAGACCGACTATATTGTATGGGGCTGAGTGTTAGCCAGTCAAGAGCTCACATGTCCAGAATATGAAGGTAGCAGAAATGAGGATGTTAAGGAGGATGTGCGGGCATACCTGGATTGATAGAATTAGGAATTAAGTTATTCGGCACAAGGTGGGCATAGCTTCTGTAGATGAGTAAATGCGGTAGGAAGACTTAGATGGTTCAGACATATGAAGGGAAGAGACACAGATGCACTAGTGAGAAGGTGTGAGAGGTTGGCCTTAGAGGGTCTAAGGAGATATAGGGGCGGGCCGAAGAAGTATTAAGATGAGGTGATTAGAGCTACAGCTTACCGAAGACATGACCCTTGATAGGAAGGTATGAAAGTCGAAAATTAGGGTTAAAGGTTGGGTAGCCGAGTGGGTTTCTTGTTCATACTAATAGTATTAGTATGTACTCTCGTATTTTTTTAGTCTTAGGTTTCTATTATTGCATCTTATTTCGGCTATCTTGCTGTCTTGTTGTTACTAATACTTATTTTCCATGGCTCCTCACTATTGTTTCTAGCCGTTTTTCTTTTCATCAATGTTATGCTTATGCTTTACTGAGCCGAGAGTCTATTCGAAACAATCTCTCTATCTCCACGAGATAAGGGTAAGGTCTGCGTATATACTACTCTCCCCAACCCTACTTTGAGGATTACTTGAAAGTGGATAATTTTACTATTGAGTGAACTTCACGTGTTCAAAATTTTATGGTCCTAGAACGCTAAAAATCGAAAATCGTGCTGAATTCCTATTTTATGATCCTAAAATACCAAAACCAAGGGACGTCCATGGTAAGGTAATGACCATGGTTCATTAGGTCGTTTGCGATGGGCCCAAGAAATTTTAGGCGATTCGGGGCCGATCGCCCGGATTCACAAAAATGACGTGGACATTAGCACAAGAAAAATCAAAAATCGTGCTAAATTCTCGTTTTATAGTCCTAAAACACCAAAGGACGAGGAAAAGTCATGGCAAAGCCATGATTATGGTTCATTAGGTCGTTCCTGACGGGCCCACAAAATTTTAGGCGATTATAGGTCGGTCGCCTAAATTCATGAAGATCGCATGGACATTAGCACGCGAAAAATCAAAATCGTGCTGAATTCCTGTTTTATGGCCCTAAAATGCCAAAAATAAGAAACAATCATTGACGAGATAACTATGGTTCGTTAGGTACTTTTCTGATGGGCCCATAAAATTTTAGCCGATTCAGCGGTTGTCGCGCGAATTCATGAATATGGCATGGACATTAGCACACAAAAAATCGCCAAACATGCTGAATTCCTGTGTTATGGCCCTAAAACGCCCAAACAAAAAACAAAAATAGCGAAGCAATGACCATTGTTCATTAGATCGTTTCTGGTGGGGCCACAAAATTTTAGGCGATTCGGAGCCGATCACCTGAATTCATGAAGATAGCGTGGACATTAGCACACGAAAAATCGCAAATTATGCTAAATTCTTGTTCTATGGCCTTAAAACGTCAAAAACGAGAAACATTATTGGTGAGTAAATGTCTATAGTTCATTAGGTCGATTATGATGGGCCCATAAATTTTTAGGCAAATCGGGGCCGATTGCCTGAATTCATGAAGATGGCATGGACATTAGCAAACGAATAATCAAAAGTCGTGCTAAATTCCTGTTTTATAGCTCTAAACGTCAAAAAAAAGGAACGGTCATGGCGAGGTAATGACTATAGTTTATTAGGTAATTTCTTATGGACGCACAAAAATTTAGGCAATTCGTGGCCGGTCATCCGAATTTATGAAGATGGCATAGACATTAGCATACGAAAAATCAAAAATCGTACTGAGTTATGGTTTTATGGACCGAAAATACCAAAAGCAAGGAAAGGTCATGGCGAGGCAATGATTATGGTTCATTAGGTCATTTCTAATGGGCCCACAAAATTTTAGGCGATTCGGGGCCGGTCGCCCAAATTCATGAAGTTGGCGTGAACATTAGCACACGAAAAATTGACAACTATGCAGAATTCCTAATTTATGGCCCTAAAACGTCAAAAAATGAGGAACAAGGATATAAGCGGTTTTGGTTTTTATGATTGACAAAGGAACACATGCATGAATTAGGTCCATGAAGAGTGTACACAGGTCACAATCAGATTTAAGCAAAATGCATGCACGTGCAAGGGATAAGTAAAAGTGGTTATTTCTAATAATCCCTAAATAAAAATGTTGCATATTTAATAAGGAGCGGGACTCTTGCTTGAAGAGAATTATATCCAAGATAAGGAAAGAGTTAGAGGTTGAAATTAACTAGGACTCTTCCACCAAGGAAGAATAAAACATTAGACTTCTAGTTACTCTTTATTTACCAACTCTATAAATATTAATTTGTTCTCTTTTGCAGGGGACGCACAAACGCTGAAGTTAAGCAAGAATTGAGAGCAAAATAACAATGCATTTTGTGATCAATTTCTGTGTGTTTCAAGTGTGTGAACCTGAAGCTACATGAACCAGATAGAAGAACCGGTTCTAAATGTGTGTCTTTTATTCTAGTTTCATTGTAGTAGGGCTTTTGAGTTGTACCTTTCAGCTTTCTCTATAAGCATTTGTACTAGGTACTCTGAAGT